GCCCACACTTTATACAAATGTCCCTAGTTTTGACCTCATGAGCATTTTGTTGTGTTCCCAGTCTGTCCAGATGACATTCAGCCATCACGTCTCCTGAAGCTCCTCTTGGCTGTGACAATTTCTCACTTTTCTTATTTCTGATGACCTTGTCAGCTTTGAGGAGTACTGGCAGAATTCTGTAGAATGCCTCTCAGTATGAATCAGGAGCATATAATTTCAATTTGCATCAAGAGTACATACTATCAACATGACTTTCACTATTGATGTCAACCTTGATCACCAGGGTGATATCTATCAAGTGTATACATCATGAAATTATTTGCCCCTCCCCTTTTCATATTGTATTCTTTGGAAGGCACTATGTTCAGTCCACATTTAAGAAATAGGGAGCCATGTGTGGCCTCCCCATAGGTAGAATACAACGTATGTTTCTTTTTTAATTTATTTTTTATATTTTATTTACTTATGTATTTATTTTGGAACTGGGGATTGAACCCTGGGGGTACTTTACTACTGAATTAAAACCCCAGTCTGGATTTTGAGATAGTCTCACTAAGTGGCTGAGGTTAACTTTGAACTTATGATCCTCCCGCCTTAGCCTTCCCAGTAGATGTGATTACAGGCCACACCACCACACTCAGCTTCTAGTATTTTGTGTGTTGTAACATTTTATTTGGGGTGCTCTAAGGCAGGAACTACATTTTCTTTATCTTTGTATCTCTGAGACTAACAACTATGCCAGAAACATAATAGTGGAACAATAAATGTTGGTTGTAAATGAAGGAAGCAAAAATGAGATACAAGTAAAAGTGGCCTATTTCTCCAAAGATTAGAGAACGTATTAATAACTGAAGACTGGGAAGACTGTGGAAAACCTGTAACAATCTGCTTATAGCTTTTTATCCTGGTACACTCTTCCTTTGGGAAAATGTGGCAATGTTTATTAGAAGACAAAACATATGCATATTCTTCATTCAGCAATTCCCTGTCTGGAAATTTAAATTGGGAAATAACCAAAGAGAGGTGGAAAGATATGTTATAAAATAACATCTTTTATAAAGATGTTATTATTTTTAGTGAAAAAATTGGAAACAATTTATTTAGATTGGAAACAATCTAAAGTCCCAGCAATAGGCCAATTAAATTATATAGGATGTCCAGGTAATGGAGTAATACTAAGCCATCACAAATCAGGTTGAATGTTTCCCAGGTGACTGTCTCTGGGCAGTGGCACATGGGCATAAATTAAGCTTTTTATTTGTGTTTCCCCAAGTTTTCTCCTCTAAATAATGATGGTATCTGTGACTAGAGAAAAAAAAGATCAAATGCACATTTTCAGAGTGGCTCATTTACCATTTCAAACATCAGATCATAGGCAATCACAATTTGTAGTTTGATCTTTTGGCAAGTTTAGTTACAGTGAAGCCAAAACATCACAGCTGCTGTGACAATTGCCTCCAGCCACTTCCCCCTCATACTGAAGTGGGTGGGTCCCAGGATAAGAGAATTCAGAGCTTCTTACCTGTTTGCTGGCTTTTCTGGGTACCACTTCTAACCTGGACACTCCACAGTGCTTGTTTGTTTTGCTTTTAAAGCTCCTCTACGTGACAATATAGCCATATTACTATGGTTCTCTTTCACTGTTCATTTTGCAGATGCTACAACTGAGGCCCAGAGAAATACAAATGATACAGAGGCAGAAGCAGAGGCAGATCACAGTCTCTTCCTTTGCAGAATGTATTCTTTGCTCTTTAGCAAGTCAGTAAATTCAAGGGAGGGATTTTTGTAGATCAACAGACTTGGAGGGGCCCAAATATTTCAGGAGAGAAATGAGAATGCAAAGACTTTGAAAAGGCAACCTACCCTTGATTCCCTCCCCAACCCAATTTTAGAACTATGGCTGAGCAGTTAGCAAACAAGTATTTATTGAGTAGAGTGAGACTTGGAAAGATCATATTTCATCTAATATAATGATGGTGGGAAACCCAGGAGAGTCTCACTAAATACAACTGCTTTGGGTAAGCAAAGACATTAGAAATCAAAATGACATTGCATCCAAGGTTGACGTGACCCCAGAACAAATCAACACAATCTCTTAAGGGTCTTTGCCTTCCCCAGCAGGTTCTAGGTTCTGTGTCTCTTACTCAGGACCCTGCTTCTCAAGGTGACTACCAAGAATGCCCTCAGATGGTTAATCTTGCGAATTGGCTACCTTTTCAAACTGCAAACAATACCTTCTCATTCTACCTGATCTCTACCCTGCCCCAGCCAGGACTCAGAGCTCATACCTCCTCAGTACATCAGTCACAGTGAGGTGCTGTTTTAGAAGCTGCACAGTAGGAAGAAGCTCAGACTTGGAAGTCAAAAGATCTGGCTTTCCCTGACTGTGCTGAAAACTGGGAAGTCCCAAGTCACCTAACCTTTCAGAACTCATATTTACTGGGGCAATCCCTAAATCCCAGTTCAATATTCAACAACAGGTCTGTGCGAGCCCAGCCCAGCCCTAGTTTGTAAGAGACATAGTTAATTTTTAAACTAGCAGTGTGTGGTGTTACAAGAATTTATAGAGGAAGTCTTTAATCATTCCATATTTGTGCAGTGTTAAGGACTTAAATAAAAACAGAAAATGTGGAAGGTAAATTAGATTCATGGAGGTCTAAAATTATTGAAGTGAAGGAAAGTTTACTTTTGTTTGCAGGGTATTAAATGGATGTCTTTGGGTTGCCTTCTAGATTCTGGGACAACCATTTGTTTGTTTGTTTGTTTGTTTTTCATTTGATTTTTCAGTAATCATTATTTAATTTTTTAAAATCTATTGATTTCTTATTGTAATCTGTATTCAAATATTCATAAAATTCACTGTGCATAACCAGGGGAAGAAAACAATGAGAACAGAAGAATTTCCTGCATTCTTAGAGCTTATCCTCTACAGGAGGAGACTGGAATAATCAGATATCCACACAAAGACACATTTACACAATGTGATTATACTGCAGGGAAAAAATATACAAGAGGCAAAGAGAGTCCATAAAGGGGGAGCTAGCCTGCAAGGTCGGTGAAGGTACCTCTGGAGGAACTGACCTTGATGCTCAAGGGTGGGTGGAGGGTATCTGGAGAAGGCACCTGTAACTGAGGCAAGTGGGCAAAGGCCCAAGGCAGAGGGGGAGTCATGGTTGATAGGAAAGAGTTTTCTCAACTGCCCTTTAAAAAATCCTATTATGTATCCAGGAACAGGCACATAGTCATTTCCTTTTGGGAACTTCCTGTGTGTCCCTAGTAAAGTATTAATCTTCTCAAGTCACTTGAAGCTGATCCACCTTTAAGAACATTTATTAACCTCTCCCTTATCAAATGCTCTTGAGTTAATTCCCCCTCCCCACTATCACCAAGTACAGGGATTTCTTATCTTGATTTTGGGTTCTGTCTTGCTTCTTCACAACCTGCTGTGTGAGTGAGGTGCTGTGTTGGCCCAGAAGGGCAAGCCTACCCCTGGGCTTACCAGCCACCTAAGGCACTAGCAGCAAAGAGGCAAGAAGTCCTCTTGGCTTGCTTTTAAAGGGGAAGACAGCGCAACTCCAGAATTTCAGGTTACCTTACCAAGGGTAATGTGGAAAACAGTTTGAAAAACACTAGTGAAAAAATGCACTCTTTTCAGCTTCCTGAATTCAAGAAACAGGGTAGAAGTGTGAGAAGAGAGCAATAGAAAGCAGCCTACACATCCACCTGTGGGTGTGAGTGTGAATGTGTGTGTGCACAGAAAATGTCAATGAAAAACACTTCTTCCCCTTTAAGACACCACAAGAAGAAAGGAGGGGTCAGCAAACTCAACTAAAAGTTCCTGGAACTTCACATAGGACAAAGAAAGGACTATAAAAGGAGATAAAATATTATAGAGGTGGATTTTTCTGTAATGGAACACACAATCCACCTCCACCCTCCCAAATGAATTCTATAATTCAAAGCCTATTCATATTCAGGTTCATATCAAGGTTCTTCATAATTCCTCACTTACTAAATCTAGACATCTATACATGAAGATGCGCTGCTTTCTTGTCACCAGAAACTTCTAGGAAGAAAAGAAAATGTGACTTTTTAAAAAGAAAAACGAAAAAGGAATTACTGTTCTTACTTGCCACACTTGTTATTTTGCCTAGCAAAAGGTCAGTGGCTGCAGGTACCAGGGTAGACAGCACCCCCCCCCCCCGCGAGACTTCTGCAGGTGCCAGGGTAGACAGGCACCCCCTGCAGCTGTCTGCAGCCTGTCTGTCCCTCTGCCTGGAGTCTCTGTGCACTGCGACGACGACACAGGCTGGTTTCCCCAAAGCTGCAGTGGTTGTATAACCACACTCAGGACGCCTAGAGGAGAGCGCGGTGAGCGTCTCTCCCCAAAGCATCTGTGAAAAGCCATCGGTGCCGGTTAATGAAAGACCCACCAGGCAGAAGGGGGCGAGAGGGAGGTGTTGTCAGAGGCCATAAATCTCTTTAGGAGCAGTATGGAAACCCAAGCTCTATCCCGAGAGTCGGCAGAGCGCACCGTAGGACAACTGAGCCCCACAACACCCGCATTTGCGCGGACAGGGGAGGGGGATGGGCGGCAACTAAGAGTTCCCGGGAGGGGAAGTGCCAAGGACATCCCCACTCCTTCAGTTACGTAACTCCGACAGATTCGGTAGAACATACATGAAGGTGAATGTATTCATTAAAATGGAAAGCCTCTAAGTAGACCGCCTTTAAAGGCTCTGAGCGATTTAAGTCTGAAAAGACTTGGTGGCCACCTGGCAGGGTTAGAGGATGGCATCCCGGAGGCTGGACCCCCAAGGCCACCCCCTCCACACACGACCGCCGGACCCCCAGGAGCCTCCGGGACGGCGCTCTCTCCACCGGGCTGGTTTGGGGCACGCCTGTCCCCCACGTCGCCGAGTCGCCTGGACCTGCACGTCCGCAGGCTGCGGAGCGGCTGTCCCCTCCTCCCTCCCAGGCGAGCACCTGCCCGCGGTTACCTGCGGCGTCGCCGCTCTCCGCAGCCCATTGGGCGGCTCCGCGCCGCCCTTGACGTTGGCCGCCGGGCGATGCCCGACCTCGGAGCCGCGCGTCGCATCCTGCGGGGGACCCGCGCCGTTCTCCTGGGGGCCTTCATCCAGCGCCGGAAAGAGCCCGCAGCGGCGCTGGAAGCGGGCGACTATCTGGGAATCCTGCAGGCTCCACAGCAGCTCTGCCATCGTGCACCGGGCCGCCCTCGCCGCCCGGCAGCCGCCGCAGCCTCGCCGGGCCGTCACCTTCTTCCGCGCTCCGGTCGCTCACACCCCGACCCCGGCGCAGGGCGGGCGGGGCCCCCGCCACCCAACAGGTGCGCCGCCCGGGTCCTAGCGCCCGCCCTTGGCGCGCCTGAGCCCAGGTGTCCGCCTTCACCTTGCGCAAGACACGCCCCTCTTTTCCTTACAGTCCCTGCATTTAGGGCGACAGCACAGTCTAGCTTTCCTTCTCCAGGGCTAGCTAGCGACTGGGCAGAGAAGCACAGGTGCTTGGACTCTCGCTTTTATTTGAGGGCAACTTGTATCCACTCCCTCCTGGCTAGCCCAGACCTGACATTAAAAGACAGATGATCCCGTAGTGACCTTCCTTTTAACTCCCAAGCTCAAGGTAAATTCAATTTCCCGGCGGGCGCGCCAGCTCCCCACTCGGACCTTTGTCGCACCCTGCAAGACTCAGCAAGTACAGCGAGGGCCCCCGGGGGAAATTCCCAGGTTCTTTCCAAACTCTGCTTCATGCAACGTTTCCTCCGAAGCCCGGACACCCTCGACCTTGCTCAAGAATCCAGGAACACAAAGTGGGCCCTGAGTCATCCACAGCGTGAAGATGTGATGTGGCAATCGGGGAACACTTTAAGGTGGGTGGGGAGGAAACCTGCTTCCCTCTTGATTTTCTGCGTTGAGCATAAAGAGTCCTACTAGCTCCCTTATCCCTTCTGCGATGCCTCTGCTTAAGAAACGACGCTGAGAAGACGCAACCAGACGTTGCGGGACTTCAGACCCATAGAATCAGTTGCTGAAGGGCTGGGAGGATAGTTGGGCATCTCACTGCACCCGCGCCTGGGTTAGGGCTCTCAGCTGGAGAGCAGAAGAGGAACCCTCCTGCAGTTTGGAGTGGTTTTCCCTCACCCCTCCTAAATCTCCCTCTGGGGTCTGAGATCCCAGCCGCTGCACCTCCTCACATGGAGTGTGAGGGTCCAGGTGATCATCCTGCAACAAAAGCACAATTTACTTGTCTTCAGGTTACAACAGAAGGCTACCTATTTGCTGACTGCCCATGTAAAGCCTACTAAGTATTTGGTAGCACAAATGATCAGAAATGGATACCTGAGCCACCTTGTTTAACCACTTGTCCTTTTAGGCCTGGAAACCTCTGGGATGTAATGTCCAAGGATAATTTAGTCTTCCTCATGCCCTAGTTTCCGATTTCCTTGCTTCTCAGTCTTATCTGGAAAGCAAAGTCAAGGTGGCTAAGAGGACAATGGAACTCTGGGGAGATACCATTTTCCTCTTACAAAAGCACCAGGCTACTGTCACACCCAGCTGTGTCACCCCTAGACATGTCTGGCTCAGGAAGCAGTGGCCTCTCCCCCCTGTGCTGTTTGCTATCATTTATAGGCACCAGGACCAAACCCTGTGGTTTAATTTTAAAAGCTGGAGTTGTAGTTGTTCAGAACCTGTTTTGTTCATGTGTTAAAGAAATTTGTTCTCCCATGAAGATTCCTGCATCATATATCTCCCAAATTCAGTGCTTCAGTGTTTCGTTAAAAAAAAAGCAAAACATGGCACATTCAGCATAAGTATACCAACAAATTGCATTTTCAGACAGAGCATTTTATCTCTGACTTCAGCTTCCAGTGACTCAAGAAGTATCTCCTGAAAAGGAGAAAAGAGTGAATGTACTGAACAGCAATTTTATATTAAGCATGAAGCAGAAGTTTACATATCATTTCTGCGGACAGCCTATCAGTGAGAAGGTAGTCTCCTGGTCTCAAAAAGGCTTGGAAATGTCACCTCTAGCAAGGCAGACCCTTTTCAGCTTAATCTATATAACTGTGGAAGAAGGGAAGAACTGATTTCCATTTTTTAACTACCAACAGTCTTCATCATGGTATGAAAATAAAGCATTGTTGGTTAAATGTTGTAAAAATATAAATCCAAATTATAATTTCACTTTTGATCTGCCTAATTTTATCTATGCGGTCTGTCTCTAATGTGGCACATTCTACTCATGTGCAGTAAAGGAAGCACTAAAAATAACCTATTTCAAGGAACAACTGGCATGCTTTTAATATATTTAAAATTTTTTTCATTGTAAATAGGCATAATACCTTTATTTATTTATTTTTCTGTGGTGCTGAGGATCAAACCGAGTGCCTCATATATACGTGCTAGGCAAGCACTCTATCACTGGGCTACAGCCCCAGCCCCGCCATTAAGATATTAAAATGAGAGAGCTGACAGACAATGATGTTAAAATGCATTCACTCAAAGTGAATATTTTTGGAATTAATTAATTATTGCATTTTAAATTCTGAGTTAGAGTTGTCTTTCAACAAAACAGGTTCCTTCCAAATTACCATTAGTGAGGCAGATACACAGGATCTGGGCTTTGTAATAGTTATCTACTGCTGCATAACAAAGAACTACACAAATAGTGGCTTAAAGCAGAAATATTATCTTGCAGTTTCTGTAGGTCAGGAATCCAGGTGAATTTTAGCTGGATCCTATGACTCTGGGTTTCTCACAAGATATCAGTTAAGGTGTTGTCTGAGGCTGCAGTCACCTCAAGGCTCAACTGGAGATGGATTAGCCATGAAGATCACTCATGTGTATTGTTATATTTCAGTTCCTTATGGGTTATTGGTCAGAAGTTGCCCTCCCTGCTTTGCTACGAGGGTGCCACCATAGAACAGCTCATTAAATGACCCTTTCTTCTATTGAAGCAAGCAAACAAGAAAATCTGGAGATACAGAAGGAAAATAAACAAGACAGAGTAGCAGATTTTTATAACAAACCCTTGGAGGCAATATCCTAATACTTTTGTCATTTTCTACTTCTTAGATGCAAATCTCCAGGTCCAGCCCACAATCAAAGGCAAAGGGGATGAGACAAGAGCATATATCTTAGGTGGGAGGGACTGTAGGGAGCCATTTCGGAAACTACCTATTATACATTTACATCAGTTCTCTGACTTAGCCACAATATCAGTAGTTATTGTCCCAAAGAAATATGATACATGAACTTGCCCTCAGAGAGCTACCATCTGTTGCAGAAATAAGATGTTCACATACCAAACAAATAGGTAATAATATAATAATAATATACATACATTGGTGTAATGGAAAATATAGTGCACCACATGACAAATTTTCCATAAAAATCCACAAGTTCCACAGTTGTAATTCAGAAATCTGGGATCAAAATCACCTTACAAATCTGCCTAAATTACAGATACTTTAAAATAAATAAAAGCATAAGCTGTTGAATTATAAAGAAAAACAATAAATCAAAAAATGGTTCTGTGAAAAAAAAATCAACAAAATAGACAAATCTTAGCTAATCAAGAGAAAGAAGAATAAAAGGGGAAAACTCAATAGCCCCAAACCAAAAATACTGTGGGGAAAATAATCATTAAAAGCAGAGGAAATTTTTTAACCATGGAGGTACTTGACATAACCTTTTTTAAAAAGGAAAAGACAGCTTACCAAAATGAACCTCAGTGAAGAAAGTCTAACCAGAATAATTATCATAGAAGAGTTAGAAAGTGGGTTAAAACACTCCTCTCTAAAAAGCACCTGGCTGAAATGGTTTCTCAGGAACATTCTACCTAACCCATAAAATATGGATGATCTCAATGCTACTTAACCTATTCCAGATTATAAAAAAAATTCAAATTTTCACTTATGAAGCCATTGATGTCAAAACTTGAAATAATTCCAAAAGGAAAACAGAATATTCCTGCGTGTGAATATGGTTCAAAAATCTTAAAACATCAGCAGTCAGATCCCAGCAGCTCCTTTACCAAATAATACTTCATGACTAAGTGAGATTCATTCTAGTAATACAAGAGGGTTACCTGTTATAAAATCCACCAACATTGTCAATCAGACTAGCCGAGCTAAGGAGACTATCATATGCTGTGTTATGGATTTAATTGTGTTCCCCAAGAAAGATATGTTGAAATCCTAAGACCAATATCTTGGAATGACACCTTGTTTGGAAATAGGGTTGTTGCAGATGTGATTAGTTAAGATGAGGTCACAGGGATTAGGGCGAACCTCCTAATCTATTATGACTCGTATCTTATGTGGACAGATGAAGACAGATGCACAGGGAAGTGCTGTGAGACGGAGGCAAAGATTTCAGGGAGACAGTGCCAAGAATTGCCAGCAAACCTCGGAAGCCAGTGCCATGCTTCTTCTGAACGGGGCAGAGGAATCATACCCAGCCTCCTTGTAGGTTCCAGAATCGTGAGACAATAATTTTTTTTTCTTTAAGTCATCCAATTCATGGCACTTCCTTACAACAGTCTTAGGAAACAAATATGTGATGTTTTTGAGAGATGTAAAAGTCATTTGGCAAATTTTAGCACTCAATTTATGTCAAAACTCCTTAGTGAAATAGGAATGGTTTGGTGTATCTGAGGTCAGTGGGCAACCATTTTTGCTGGGAGTGCAGAGTGGCAATATCTTTCCCACATTAGTTCCCATTTGGATAATGAGGAAAAATTAATTTTTGTCTTCAAAGCAAAGGGCCCTGAATTTCAGGCTACAAAATTTGTAGTGTACTATATGTTTGAAGCAATTAGAAGTCATTGAAAAGCAAATAATGGACACAAGGAGAGAAATGCTCCAAGAAAATTAACCAGGAAGTTTGCTATTAGATGAATGGTGTCTGGAAGCCAGGGTAAGCTGGAGATGTAGATTACCACGGTAGCCTTCTTCACACAACATTTTCTGCTTTACGTTTCACATTAATGATATACTTATAGACTGCTTCATAACAGTCTAAGATTATTTTTTTCCCGCTGGACAGTATTCCATTGTGTGCTGTAACTTATTTTAGCAGTCTTTTGCCCATGAACATTTATGTTGTCCAACAATACAGTAAAGAACACTGCAATAAGTAAGCTTTGTCCACGCCTATGTTTCTAGTACAATGGACTGCTAGAGATGGGATTGCTGGGTGGAAAAGTGTCTGTGTGTTTTGTGATTGTTAGACATTGCTAAATTGGCCTCTAGGGAGTGATGTACC